GAAAAAAGAGTGATCTTCTGATGCTGACGCTACGCACACCTGCAAGGTCATGCGTCACGCACCACGAAACCTGCCGATCGCTGCTTCAACCGAGAGACGACAACCACAAAGTACCTGCTGCTCGAAGCTGCGGTGTTGCATCGCTTAGGACAGGCGTAGGCTCTGGCTCTCTTTGCTCTGCCTGACGGAGCAGCGCTTGCGCGCTTCGACCATCAATCGAAAATCGGATTCCCATCGCACTATTTCCAACAAAAGTAATATCCGGATGTGACGCGCGTGCGTCCTCGGCATGCCACGCTCGCATCAAGGACTGTGAGGCTCGTGCGTAGCGACGCCTCTGTGCTCCGCTGCGCAGATGGGTCCAAACATGTGTTTTGGACGCGCCAACGTGCGGCTCCGAGGCGCTGTTTCGACTACAAAAAACGACTGTATGCAATATCATTCGGTGTAAAGGTTAGGGCGTCGGTCATGTGTTGTCGGACGCCCTCGTCAACGCCGTTGGCATGGCGAGCGTCGAGCGTTGGTGTTGGTGACGCACCGACAACCGCCGCGTTCGTCAGCTGGAGCGCCGGATGCGTGAGGTGGGACGTGGCAGCGCACACCGCAGGAGAAGTGCCACGGTTGTACTGCAGCCGAACGCCGCCGTTCTCGCCCCAGTTGGCGCCCCACGCGCTGCACACCTTGATAAAGTCGACGGGCAACAGCTTTCCGCTGATGGACTCGGCTCCATAGCCAACAACGAGCATGGCTTGATCTGCCGTGTCCTCGCTCGAGCAAAGGGAGAGGATGCCGCCCGCGTACAGTCGCCACGGTGCGGCGGTCGTCGAGCAAGTCGCCACGACCGGTTGCGTATGGAGCTGCTTGATACTAAGTCGATGCTCATCTCCCGGCGCCTCCAGCATGCCACCGACTTGCAACTCGAGAGAACCGGCGCATTTGGTGTTGTCGCTGCATTCCAGAGCAGGGCCAGTGCTTCCCGACGTGTACGGGATGGCCGACCGCGAGCACAGGGCGCTGGTCTTGGACACGAGCCAGTTGATGGCGTCGAGGGCGAGCCCCACTCGTGTGCAGCCATCGGCGCCGCCTTGATACGTGCAGCTTAGCGCTTGTAGCACCGATAGGTCGATGACCTGGCCGGTCGCGAGACAGGGCGCCGCCGCCGCAACCACCATGGTAACACTAAATACACTAGTTTATTATATTTTCAAAAATACACATTTAGGGTGCCACATGACCGCGTTGACACCCCGTCCACGTGGCGTGCGTCGATCAAGATAGGATGGTCGGATGGCTTCAATCAAAGGATGAGCGTCGGGAACGACAGCCGCGTCGAGACGTTGCACGTGCCAAAGGTGCTGTCGAGATTGCGCTGGAGCCGAATGTCGCCGGCTTCGCCCCACGCGGTGCCCCAGACATTGCGCACCTTGAAGAAGCCGAGCGGCGCGGTGCCAAAGCCAAAGTCCTCGGCGCCGTAGCCGATGACGAGCGCGGCTTGGTTAACATACGTTGTCGGTGGGCACCACGAGAGGATACCGCGAACGTACAGTCGCCACTGGTCGCTCGTGGCCGCTACGTACGCCATGACGGGTTGCTTTCGAAGCGAATCGACGAGGAAAGCCTCGCCTTGACCTTCGACGACGGCGCCGACTTGGAGCGAGATGGACCCGGCGCACTTGGAGCTGTCGCTGCAGATCGGCGCCAATCCGGTCTTGCCCGAGACGTAGGGGATCGCCCACTCGGAGCACAACGAGTTGGTTCGCGACACGAGCCACTTCATGCCCGGGTAGTCCGTCCCATAATAGCAGCCGTCGGGCCCGTCAGGCGACGTGCAGCTCAGCACTTGTTGCACTGAGAGGTTGATCGCGTCGCCGGTCGCAAGACAGTGCGCGGACGACACGGCCGCCGCCGCTGCGATCGCCCAATCGCTTCGACATTGGCCCGTGTGCCTCACCGGCGGCACACAGACCGATTGCTTGGTCCAGTCGACCGTGGAGACGACGGCGCCGCCGAGTGCGCTGCGAGTCGAACGGTTGGTATGTAGCGACGAAGCAGGTGACTTGGCTGGCATCGACGCTGAACCCGACACGAACCGCGCAAACTCACTGTCCGTGAGCAGCGCAAACTTGGTCAAGTGGCTAAAAGTGGCGTGCGGGTTGGCCGCTTGCAAAGTGGGAAGCTTGTCCTTGGTCGCCTTCAAGCGCCGAAGAAGATCGTTTGTCGTCAAGGTACCTCGCACCATCTTCATGGCTGCGCGCACGTGGTCGTCATGACCAAACTTCTGTTGCCAGAGCGTCAAGTCGCGGTTGAGTTCACGGCGCTCGTCGGCCGAGATGGTCAGCGCAACGACAGCCGTCATCATTGAGAGAAGAAGGGAGCCGATAGCTACCATCAAGAGGAGTACCGAGAGGAAGCGCATCGCACACAGCAGCTGTACGAGTAGAGGAAGAGTGAGCTTCCGTTGCAGAAGGTGCGAGGTGCTCAAGGGCAGTGCATCATGCGCTCAGAAACAAGCCGTTCGAGGCTTCCACCTCAAGATCTCAGTTCGACAGCCAAAGCGGCTATTCGTTGAAGTACCTTGATGTTGGATGGATTCGGTGCAAGTCGTGGCGCTCGTAAAGTCTGCGTTCGTACCTTTCTATCGTTAGCCATGTGTCGTCCGAGATGTCAATCGCACGTCCAGGGTGATCAAGAGAAGAAGCGGTAGCAA